ATATATGCAGAAGTAGTTCATGTTCAATTTCCATTTTACACAAGAGCTCATGTTGACAAGCCCTGCAAATGATATTGCATCTAAAAGAATAATAATAGCACCACGTGATTTCTACCCATTCAATCCCTGAATGTTGGACAGTTTTGCAAAGTAAGCTTTCCTAGTGCATTACATGAGTAGGAGTAACCCACACGGGAACATTCCAGAAAATGAGACTCACTGCTTTCTAAGAAAAAAAAAAAACCTAGGGCCAGAGATGTAGCTCAGAGGCCTAAGCACCTTCCTGGCAAGTGCAAGGTCCAGAAGTCAATCCCTGGTACCGCAAAAAGAGTAGGAGAGAGAGAGAGATAAAGAGACGGAGAAACAGAGACAGAGAGACAAAGAGAGCGATGGAGAGAGACAGACAGACAGAGACACAGACACAGAGACAGAGACAGAGAATCTATGGAAGACCTCTGCCTCCACTTTTAGTGCCTGGACAGATTTGTTTCCTCTTGATGGGCAGACCCCAAGTTGTCCCAGAGTAGCAATGCTGACTCAGCATGACCCATTGGAGTCCAAGGTCTTTGAGGAGAATGAATGCACTGAGAACATCACTTGCTGGAAGGCACATGTGCACCACGCTGCAGTCAGTGCCGGTTCTGGCGCCCTCTGCTGGCCACTATGGCACTAAACACTGTATCCCACGCTCCCTGCAGCCTCACGGTAGCTCTTCATGGATCTCAGATTTAATCACTGAAAATCAGTGTAAAACTGTAGCTACGAGCTGAGAAACAGAACACATTAAGAATCTGAGATCTTGATGAAAATCGATGGAAATAAGAATCAAAGTACAGTGTCACTGTAGAAAGGTCAGTATTTTCTTTATGCCAGAAATGATTAATTGGAATTTATATTTTTGTTAATCTTGCTAAATTTAATCATTTGTATTCATTACATTAAACAAAAGTAACAAAATCATATATTGAAAGCATACAGTGAAATTTGTTGCTATTTATAATATGAAATCATGATCATATTCTCCTTAGTTAGCATATGCCTCATCCACAATTGCCTTTTAAGGATATGGAGGGCCGGCAAGATAGCTCAGCAGTCTAAAGCACAGGCTTAGGCAAACTTAGACTGCTGTTCAATCCCCAGCACCACATGCAGCACCAGCCCCACCCTCAGGGCAGGCTGAGCCAGACCAAAAAATAATAATAATAATAAAAAGGATATGGAGAAAACACTAAAACCAGCTTTTAGCAAATTGTAATACTATGTGGAACTACATCAATCACTGTAGTCACTATGAGAACTATGGGGAGCCTGGGCCTAGCTCAGTCCTTTAAGTGGCTGCTTCCACAAAGCTGTCAGCCTCAGGTGGCTGGAGTTCGAACTTCACAACTCTCCTGCTGGCCAAACGTGCCCTGAAGGCATGCGAGGAACCAAAAAAAAAAAAAAAAAGAAGAAGAAGAAGAAGAAAAAATCCTTATTGGGCTGGTGAGATGGCTCAGTGGTCTAAAGCACCTACTTAGAACAAGCTAAGCTAAGCAAAGCACAGGGACTGCAGTTCAATCCCCCAGCACCACATGCCAGCCAGCCTCGCCCCCTCGTGGGCTGAGCTGGCCACACACAAAAATATAAATAAATAAAAGAGAACTATGCTTCTCTTCAGGGTTATTTATCTCAGTGCAATCAGAGTAAGGTTTTCCACATTCCTTATATTCATGAGGTTTCTCTTTAGTATTTACTCCATCACTGGCTCAGTGCACCCAGGGGCAGAGCCGGCACAGCATGCGGTGCCAGGGATCGAACCCTGGACCCTGTGCTTACCTAAGCAAGCACAACTCTTTCAATTTGAATAAGTTCATTCCCTTTTCCCAGTACCTATTGTACCTTCAGATTCTATTTTTCTCTTTCAGGTTCTCACACTAAAGAGACTTTTATGATGTTTGCACAAGCAAGTCCGATTTTTTTCACTTAAGAATATGTTCTCTAGCAAGGAGAGCCAACATTTTGGCCCTAGCCTTCCAAGGTCAATTAAGACTCAGGACATGAGATCTTGTACTGTAATGTCATGTAACTCCATAGTGTCGCAAATTTTCTGATCAAGGAGATTATGGGGCCAAAGAGGAACGTGATTGATGATGTAGAGTGTGCCTAAGGAGAGTCACATGGAGAAAAAACATTCTCTCAGGCTTTCAGAGAGAGCACATTGGCCAAGCAATGGCCGTGACTCATCCACATGGCTGACACTGACAAAGGATCTACAATCTGAGGTACAGGATCTAAGGATAAATCCTGAGGGGATTTCACTGACCTTATCAGACCCAAAAGCTACAACTCTTGGTGCATAGGTCTTGCTTTATCTTGGTCTTAACCATCCAGCAGAAAAGTATAAAAATGAATTATAAGATGTAAAGCCATGCTGTTATGTTGAGCTGTAGGGGACTCAGGTCAACAATTTCTGACATTGCCAGTCAAGCAGAAGACCCAATACTATTATGGGCTACTGGACTCTTTTAGAATATTTTGCTGTGTTAACACACCTATAACATTCAAATGACAGAACTGAATAAAAAAGGGGATATATAAATGAAAGTCCATTTTGTATCTGTGTATTCAAAATAGTTAGGATAGATATATAGTTACATTCTCTTAATGAATAGAGGGATTTCTTGCAATAGTGTTTGTAGATAGGATATCATGTCTGCATCTTGTACAGCAAATAACCACTAGGAAGAATGTATGCAACGCGTTAATTATTGAAACTGTCCTACCAATTTGATTTGAAACTGTCTCATTGCTATTTGTCTCTCAATAAAATTATGGGGGGGAAAAGAATATGTTCTCTAATTGCATTCATTTAACAACAAAAGACTCAAATTTATCCTGTTTTATAGCTACATAATACTCCATTGTGCAAAAAATACATATTCTTTATCCATTCTTCAGTTGATGGGCATCTGGGTTGTTTCCAGGATTTAGCTATGACAAATTGCACTGTTATAAACATAGGTGCACATATATCACTATGGTTTGATGTTTTTATTTATTCTGGAAAAATACCAGGAAGGGAATGGTTGGCTTCAACAGGATCTCCAATTCTAGCTTTTGAAGGAATCTCCACACTGATTTCCATAGTGGTTGTACCAGTCTGCACTCCCACCAACAGTGCAGAAGAGTTCCTTCTTCTCCACAGTCTCTCTCAGCATTTGTTTTTTTTGTTTGTTTGTTTTGTTTTGTTTTGTTTTTATCCTTACAACAACTCTTTATTTATTTGTTAACATTGGAATAAAAACTTCTATTCAAAACACAATCAGAAAAAAAAAAAAAAAACACAATCAGGTTCCTGTGAAATGTAAAAGGCATAGAATAATCCAAGGACAACAGTAATAAAAGCTGCATGAATCACTGTGGCAACTCGTGTGTGTGTGTGTGTGTGTGTGTGTGTGTGTGTGTTACTGAAAAATATGGAACACTTCACGAATTTCTGTGTCATCCTTGCGCAGGGGCCATGCTAATCTTTTCTGTATCATTCCAATTTTAGTATGTGTTGCCGAAGCAAGCACTCTCCAACATTTGTTATTGGCTGACTTCTTGACGTCAGCCATTCTTTGTGGAGTGAGATGGAATCTCAGTGTAATGTTGTTTTAATTTGCATTTCTCAAATGACCAATGATGTTGAACATTTTTTCATATTTACTTGCCATTTGTATTTCTTCCTCTGAGAAATGTATATTCATCTCAGATACCCATTTTTTGATTGGCTTTTTGAATTTGTGGGGGAGTCTGGGTTTTTTTTAATTCTTTGGTTTTTGTTCTTGGCCAGCTCAGCCCACCCTGAGGGTGGGGCTAGTGCAGCATATAGAGCTGGGGTCAAACTATGGTCCCCTGAGCCTGCTTAAGCTTGCCTAAGCAGGTACTTTAGATCATTGAGCTATCTCGCCAGCCCCTTAAATTGTTTGTATGTTCTAGATAGAAGGCCTTTGTTGGAGGAACAGTCAGCTAAAATATTTTCCCAGTCTGCATTTTCTTTCTACTCTGTTGGAGATTTGCTTTGAAGTGCAGGAACTTTTCAAAAAGATGAGATCCCAGTTGTTGATTCTTTGAAGTATTTCCATGCAGTTTGGTTTTTGTTCATGAACTTTCTACCTACCCCTATGTCTTTAAGATGTTTACCAACATTTTGCTCCAGAAGATTTAGTGTTTCTATTTTAATATTTAAATCTTTGATCCATTTTGACTATATCTCTGTGCATGATGATAGGCATGGGTCTAGTTTTAGCCGCCAGCATGCAGACAGCCAGTTTTTCCAGCACCATTTATTAAAGAGGCCATCTTTCTTCCAATGAACATATTTGGCCCCTTTATCAAAGATAAGGTGACTGAGTGTTTATGCTATTGTGTCTGTATCTTCTAATCTGTTCCATTGATCTTCATGTCTGTCTCTATTCCAGTGCCATGCTGATTTTATCACAGTAGGTTTATAGTATAATTTCAGGTCAGGAAGTGTGATACCTCCTGCCTTTCCTTTGTTTCCCAGGATTGCTTTTGATACTCTGAGTTTCTTCTGGTTCCAAATGAATTTGAGGAAAGTTTTCTCTAGCTCTGAGAGGTATACTAATGTTTTTTGTTGTTGATTTTTTGGTTTTTTGGTTATTTGGGGTTTTTTAGCTGACTCAGACCACCCTGAGTATGGGGCTGGCACTGCATGTGGTGCCAAAGATCGAACCACAGTCCCTTGTGATCCCCTGCATAAGCTTGCCCAGTAGTCTAAGCTTGCTTTAGACTACTGAGCTATCTTGCCAGCCCCCTACTAATGCTATTTTAATCAGCATTGCATTGAATCTGTGTAACAATTTTGGGAATATGGCCATTTTTATGTTGGTTCTTCCTATCCAGGAGCATGGAATATTTTTCCATTTTCTCAAACCCTCTTTAATCTCTTTTCTCAGAGTACTGTAATTTTCTCTGTAAATTTCTGTATAAATCTTTTATATCCTTTGTGAGGTTGATTCCTAAGAATTTTTTTATGTTATTATGAAAAGCATGAGGCTGGGGAGATGGCTCAGTGGAATAAGTGCTTCCCTGGCAAGCACAAGGGACAGAGTTCAATCCCCGGTTCCACCAAAAAAAAAAAAAAAGAAAGGCATGGTTTCCCTAATTTCTTCTGTGTGTCCATTGTTTGTATACAAAACTGCTACTGGTTTTTGGGTGTTGATTTTGTATCCTGCTACATTGCTGAATTTGGTGATTAAATCTTTACAACTGTTGGTAGAGTTTTTAGGGTACTCTATGCAGAACATCATGACATCTGAAAATAATGATAATTTTACTTCTTCTTTTCCAATCCTTATTCCTTTTATTTCTCTTTCTTGTCTAATTGCTCTGGCTAATGTTCCCAGAACTATATTGAAGAGGAGTGGAGACAGTGGACATCCTTGTCTTGTTTCTAATTTTAAAGTGAAGGCCTTCAGTTCTTGTCCATTTAGTATGATGTTGGCTGTTGATTGCTCATAGATGGCTTTTATCAGGTTGTGATATAGACCACCTATTCCAATTCTCTGTATGGTTTTTATCACAAATGAGTGTTGGACTTTGTCAAAAACTTTTTCTTCATGTATTGAGATGATCATGTGGTTTTTGTTCTGGGTTCTATTGATGTGGTATATTATATTTATGGCTTTGGATATGTTGAACCATCCCTGCATTCTTGGAATGAATCCCACTTGGTCATGATGTATAATTTTTTTTCCAGACCCAGGGATTGAACTCAGGCCTTTGCACTTGTCAGGGAAGCGCTTATTCCACTGAGCCATCTCCCTGACCCTGTATAATCTTCTTGATGATTTGCTGCATTCTGTTTGCTACTACTTTACTCAGGATTTTTGCATTTATATTCATTAGACAAATTGGCCTGTAGTTCTCTTTTTAGTTGGATCTTTCTCTAGTTTGAGAATCAGTAATACTTGCCTCCAGTAATGAGTTTAGGAGAATTGCTTCCCTTTCAATTTCATTGAAAAGTTTGAGAGAAATTGACATTAAATCTTCTCTAAATTTCTTGTAGAATTCTGCTGTGAGTCCATGAGGACCTGGATTTTTCTTTGTTGGTAGGTATTCTTATTACATTTTCAGTTTTGTTTCTTGTTATTGGGTTATTCAGACTCAAAAGCTGAGTCTTCTTGACTCAGCTTTGGCACTTCATATGTATCTAGGAAACTGTATTTCCTGTATTTTCAAGCCTGTGAGAGTAAAGATTTTGGAAGCAGGTATTGATGATCTTCTGAATTTCTCTAGGATCTGTAGTGATTTTGTCCTTTTTATTCTTTATTGCATGAATTTGGGTTTTTTCTTTCTTTTTTTTTTTTTTAGGTTGGCTAGGGGTTCATCAATTTTATTTATTCTTTTTTTAATTTTTTTTTAATTTATTTGTGTGTGTGTGTGTGTGTGTGTGTGTGTGTG